TGTCCTTCTTGCGGCATTTATCATTCATTAACTGCTCAGCAATGAATCCCAAATAAACTTTACTTTTATCATTATAACAATTTGGATCATTAAAATTAAATTTATAAAGATTTTTCTCTGCTTTAGTTATTTTGAATATTCTAGTTTCAAAATTTTTTAAAGTGCTGAAGGCAATCATTTACAAATTTTAAGATATCTTCAGCAAAAAAGGGAATAAGTGGTTTATCACTTTGATAATATTCAAGGAAAAGCAATAATATTTTCTACAGAGAGGAAAAAAAATTTAATTTTATAAGAAATGTTTTATCTTAGTTGCTTCCAAAATATTTGAGAAGGATTTCGATGAATTTTTTTTAAACTTCCCCATTTCAACTTCTTTAATGTACAGTAGCAAGTCATCCCATATTTCAATGGCTCTTTCAACTGCTGGGACATTTTGCAACCATCGGTAAAGCAGAACTTCACAGGTACTTTTTTTAAGCCAGTTATACTTAAAAAATCTCATGTCTTGCAGGAGAATCTTAAAAATCCAAAATAAAGGATAAGAAGGATGGAATGTCCCAGCCAGTGGATGACATCCTATGCTTGAAAGCATTGTTAAGAATGTGTAAACCACATGTCCCTAATGTCAAGCATTGAATGTTATATTCTTTTGTCAAGTCCTGTTGCAATAAATCATAAAATTTCCAGTTTACTGCAGGACCATCCATCGATATTTGTAAGAGTTTTGACAAGTCTAGTTTTTTAACACATTCATAAAATTTGGATAAAATAATTTCACTTGTTGCATGCCCTATAAAAGCAGGCTTCTTTTGATTTGTCAGATTAAGAGTCTCATCAAATAGTAATGTAAAAAACTCAGCATTTTTTCAATGCTTTAGTAACAAAGTTTTAAAATATGGGCCAAGACCAAAATAACAGATATAAGCACATTTCTTTTCACCCACATGAACACTATTTTGCAATGAAACTATCCTGGGAACATTTTAGTGAATAATGGCCCAATATCATCGCACGATTTAAAAGAATAGTGGCTTTTGATGCACTTAAAATCCCACAATATTTTTGCATCTGTAACTTCAGATTTGAAAAGAAAAGAATTGATTTTATTGTTTTCTACACTTATTGATGTTGAATTAGCAGTTACATCTTTTCCTGAAGTAGATGGTTCTTCTAACTTGACAAAATTCATGATATTGTTAGAAGAAACTCTGCAGTTGAGAAGGGAAAGATGTTTTGCAGCTAAAAGGGACATTACATGCAAGGCATTAGTAAAATTAAGTATCGCATATATATGTATATAATGTATATATATATATATAATAAGAAATCTATATATATAATAAGAAATGTATACTGAAAATATACATTTTTTACTATATATATATGTATAATAGATATATACAGTACATATATATATATATTATAGTACATATATATATATATTCAGTACATATATACAGTACAAATTCCGAGATCTGGACATCCAATATCTGGAATGATCTAAAATCCTGACCTCAAAGCCACCACCAAGCAATTTTTTAGGGGTTTTTTGAGGGAAGGGGTATGCTTTACTCATGCGCATTAGATTTTTTTCCTCATCATAAAAAAACATGTCGGAAATCCCGATTCTTAATCTCAGTTTGGCGCTAAATAAAATATCTCATTATTGAAGAAATAATTATTTTAGCATAAATTTGTGTGATTAGTAACTTGACTCCATAGCTGCGTATCTGCTTGGCATAATCTCAAACCGATTTTACAGCAACTAATGTTAATTTTACAGCAGCTAATATTTTATATCCTTGATGACGAATCGCGAATCTTTATTTATTGTATTTTGCTTTCATCACCACATGTTTATCAACGGATGACAACTTGAGTGATGACTCATGCAATGACGCCAAATAATAGAGTATTATCCGATTACAGATTTAAGTTTAATGCGTTAAAATGTTGACAAGGGGAGATTTAACAGAAATTTCTTTCCTTATGCTAAAAATAGATTTTGTTAATGATACTGATAGGACAAACGATTATATTTAGTGCTATTTGAATTAAGAATAACTGATTTGTTATTCACATAAAGCCAGAACCAGCGCCAGAGCTCGCATGGCCGCACCAGGCGGCAGAATTTAGGGAAGTTAAACAGAAGTTTTTCATTGCAATGACAATGCCCCAATCATCAATCAATTAACGGAGGGCGAAATCTGTAGTATGGTTCTAAATCCAGAAAATACAGCTACCGATAGTGAAGAAAGTAACAGAGAGGTTACTGAACGAGAAAAAATTTTGATTGACAAGTTATTCGGAATTCTCGACACAGCAATTACAGGACTTGAACAATGGAACTTAATAACTCAACAAGAAATTATATGTCTATAGTATTAGTCTAAAGTATTAGCAGCAGAGAAAACAAATCAAACAACTCACATTGAAAGAAATGTTTGATAAAGTAAACCATATAAATATTAAGCTCTTTTCTTTGGTAAATTTTGATACCCTTTAAATCATAAATGCTTCATTATTTCATAAATCACGATTTCATATTTTCAATTTTATAATTTCTACGTGCCATCTTAGTAGATTTAAAATGATCTAATATCCGGAAAAATCTCAAATCTAGGATCGCCGAAGCCGACGAGTCCAACCTTGGACTTTGTACTGTATATATATATATAATACGGAATGTATATTTTCAGTTAAACTTCTACCCAATAACTTTAGTAATTCATGAAAGTTAATTTTGCGTCTAGTTAATTCAGGAAAATTAGTTTCAATTAGTTGTTTTCAGCTTTAAAAATATTAAAAAATTTTTAATTAGTTAGTTTGTTTTCAACTAATAATTGTATCGCCATTAGCAAAAAATGCAACTATCAAAAACATAGGATTAAACCAAATACTTAATTGTCTATTGAAGCTTCAAAACGTATTTCCGAACTTCACTTTTTCTCAGCTAGCGTTACGAATTTGCCCTTGGCGACCTAAAATCGAAATGGAGCCAACAGATTTCCCGCGAAATCGATAACAGACCCTCTGCAGAAATAAACTCATAATCCCGATATCCCATACATATAGTATGTGCAAAAGAGAATAAACTCCATAGAAGGTGATAAAAAATTAATTTATGGCTTAATTGAAACAAACACAGAAATTAAGCTAAGCAAAACCGTGTAAAAACAAATTGAAATGATAAAACGAAACTTAATTTTCATGTGAATTTTCAGCGCTGACTCTCCCATTCTAGAAATTTCAATTTGTTTCAGACAAAGACCACATTTAGCTTTTAAGGATTGTCATCCATCAATATCCAGTCTTTGTAGTCAGCTTGATGAAGCCACAGTTTATTGAAAATGCACTTTCCAGGCATCTCGTTCCTATTGGCGTCGGAAGGGTTGTGGCCTTCCAGGTTGGGAATTGCTCTAAGTTTTGGCAAATATTTTCAGAATCTCCCCCCCCCCTTTTTTTTTTTCTCGAGCACCTTCATCATCACTTTCGCCTCTTAAAGAACTTCCCGGCTTCACGCTTTCGTCACAGTCTGCCTAAATTTATGGATAACACCTGTTTCGAAAGATTGCGTGAATAGCCAATCAGACACCGATACTTTCGTTCGGGTAGCTAATTGTTTTTTTTTTAATCGTTTGCAATGCAAATCCGCCAACAGATTAGTTAAGAGCTGTGTAATTTTAATTCCATATTCATGAGAAATCGTAATTCACACTTAGAATGGCAATCATTAGAAATGATAAGAAATGTCAAATGAGCAAAATTAAGGACCGTTTATTCATTTTGGCCAAAATTAAGGACTTTTAAGGACCAAAAATCAATTTGAAAAAATTAAGGACTTTTAAGGACGTTTAAGGACCGTACGAACCCTGCAGTACAGGGGCGTAGCTAGACGGGGGCAAGGGGGGGCATCTGTCCCCGGGCGCAGAATCCAAGGGGCGCCAAACTGATGTTACGACATTTTATAATTAAATGTTTTCCATCCTTGGCAAGCAGTAGGGGGCGCGAAATTTTCAGTTGTCCCTGGGCGCTGAAAACCCTAGCTACGACTCTGCTGCAGTATAAAGGGCATAAGTGGTTTATGCCAAGCTGCACTGCCAGGCAGCCAGTCTGCACATCAGAAAATCTGGTTTAGGGCTCCAGCCATAAAGTTTGAAATTTTCACCTTTATGCCGACTTGAGATAAACATCAACCAATCAGAACCAAATGCAGAATCCTGAATGGGAAAACAGAGCGGCACAGCGGTAGACACATTCACGCATGCGCAAATTTAGCTTCTCTAAGTGGGTATGGCTTAGACCCTGTGTCGCAGGTGTGAATGGAATTCCTGCATTTTATTCCTTGTGACTATGCTTCTGTGACATTTACTTCACTGTCTGAATGCAGCCTGAGGCGAGACAAAAACAAATGAGAGTGCTTTCCACCCGGCATCCCACGCACAATCAGTCTGTATGGCAGGCTCACTCGCATTTGATTGTAATACTTCATAGTGAACTTTTATTTTTAATTAAAATGAAAACTGTTTTGATCAGTGGTGAGCCCAAAGCATTGTGTCATGTGCCATCAATGGCACGCATGCCACTGGTTTGCCACCCCTGAACTAGAGTATAAGCATGCTCAAGGAAATGAGTACAAGCTTCACCCAACTTGGTAATTCAGGCCAAGTTAGGTAAAGCTTAAATACATATGTTAAAACTGACCTTATCATCATGATTTTATAACTACATTTTCACTTAATTTAATTATTGCTATTATTGTTTCCATTTTGTTGTATTTTTATTAATTTATTTTAAACATTTTCTATGTCTGGCTTAATTTCTTAATCTATGTTAAATCCAAATTATAATAAAATGCATATTGAGCACTATTATTGATTAAAACAAATTAATTTTAACTTGTACATACATAATGCAGTAAAAATTTCTAATTATATTTCACAAAATGTATATGTTATTTTGCATTTATAATTTGAGGGCAAGTAAAAAATACTCACGTCCATCGAATTTTCTTCAATCTCCTTTCCTTCTCAATAGCTCTTTGCTCTTGCACATTATCAAGATGCCTCTTAGCAGCAAATGCTTTTGAAATTTTTACAGCAAACTTTATAGGGATGAGGAAGGAAACAGAGTATAAAATTAGTTCACATAGTTATACTACATAGGTTAATTATTGCATATTAATTATAAATAAAGTAATGATAAAATTTTTAAGTAGGATTTTTTTCCTGTTACTATTATTTTACCTGGATTACTAGGATGCATTTCATATTTTTCTAATACAGTCAAAAGTCGTTAATTCGGACACCCATAATCCGGACCTCAAAGCTAAAAACTTTCTGCGCATGCGCCACGTTGGCACATGCGCACAGGCGTTTTATGCATGCGCGTAAAACCTTGACTACTGCGCATATGCGTGTGCGCAAGTGCAGAATATGTTTTCGCCTGCGCGTTTAATGTATAACGGACAGTGTAAGCTAAAATTATCTAATTATCTATTTCAGTTAATGTTAATGATTGCGTTGTTCCTTAATCTTCGAATTGGATCCCGCTTATTATTTGCAGACTGTCAGAGCAATTTTATAAAAGTAAACTTGAAATTTTGATTATGTTAAATAGAATTTCCAATGCTGGAACTTCCAAAGGATCTACAAAACGAAAGTATGTTTCGATGTCCAACAAATAAAAAGTGGAATTGCTCCAAAAAATGGATAAAGACATGAAGAATGTGACAGAGAGGTTAGTGAAAACGAAAAAATTTCGATTGACAAGTTAGTCGGTATTCTCGGCACAGCAATTAACGGGACTTGAACAGCGGAACTTTGTAACTGAACAAGAAATTATGTCTGTTTATAGAATTAAAGAGAAAGTATTATCACATAAAACGAAGCAACTTAAACAACTTAGATTGAAAGAAATGTTTAATAAAGTAAACAAATAAATATTAAGCTTTTTTTTTTTTTTTTTTTTTTTTTTTTGTAAATTTTGATACCCTTTAGATCATTATTGCTCTTTATTTCATAAATTACGGTTTCATATTTTTAATTTTAGAATTTCTGCATGCCATCTTACGAGATTTAAACTGATGATCCATAATCCGGAAAAATTGATAATCCGGAATCGCCGAAGTCCCGACGAGTCCGGATTAACGGCTTTTGACTGTACTTCACAAAGCTGTATTTTTATTTTCATAACAAAATTTACCTAAATGTAATTACTGGTAAATAAGCAATATATAGCAGTTCTTTGTTATAGCAGCCACCATAAGTTAAGGTTTTCATTTGATGTACGCATGTTACAGACTGGGCAATCAAGTTTTCTAAATCTGGTGACTAAATATGATGACTGTTTTAACAAGGAAGCATCCAATATGCAAACAAAGAAAATCCGACAAAAAGAGAAAGCAAAGAACTCAGATAACTTTTAAGGAGCAATTTAAAAAAAAAATGGTTTACTTGTTATTTAATATTTAACTGAATATATTTAATTCTAAGATATGAGTTACATACAGCAGGTGCAAGTGGTGAAACTACACCAACCAGGCAACAAAACTTAGCCACTGACCTGCAAAAAGCTTAGTGCCAACATTAGAGTTTAGTGGCATAAATACTTCATTTAGTTGAATGACATCAAAGACTTCACTTTATTTAAATCTAGGATTTCATACACAGTATATCAAAATAGTTCTATATAAAACCTATGTAAAAATATTTATGTATATAAAATACGTGCCATGGCATTAAGATAGGCTGAAATTTTATCACTTTCAACATCCCATTATCATAATATCAGCTCATTTACTGTAATAAACTAATGTTATTATTAACTGAATTTAAAAGTTTTTCAGTGTGCTTCTCTTTTTATTTAAGTATATACTAACACCTATTTAACTACTATGAACAGCAGAAAACGGATAGGATGATATTGACACAATAATTATGTTTCATTACAATATAACTTTTCCCAATTTGATGACTATGAATTATTTTTGTAATCACCAGTGATTGTGCACTTTCACCCTTTTGACATCTTTAATAATTAATGTGGTATTAATGTGGCTTTGACGAGTAGAAACATTAATAAATAGAACTTGAAGACTATTGACTTAAAAACCAGCAATTTCATAAAAACAAAATCTGCGTTTATACAGTAGATCCGAGATAAGAGCACCTCTTTATATGAGAAATTCCAGATACGAGGAAAGTATGAGCAAGAAATTTGTTTCTAAATACGAGCAAGGAGCCATGCTGTTGGTGCGAGTGGCATCATTTCCCGATCTGGCTCGACTCCATGAATCCCCTTGTCAGATCACTCAGTATTCTTTGATCTATGTGTTTGTGTGTTAATTGCTTTTTACATTTAACGTGAAAATAATTATTTTACGATGGCTCTCAAAAAGATTGCTGCCTCAGACAGTGCTGCAAAAAAAAAAGGAAGCCATGGTCATTGAAATTAAGAAAGAAATCATAGATAAACATAAAGCATGGCGCAAGAGTGAGAAAATTGGTGAAGATTTACAGCCATTCGACATCAACGATCTGCACTATTCTGAAGAAGAAAGAAGAAATTAAGAAACTTGATGTAGCCAAAGGAGTTACCATTACTGAAAAGCACCACCTAAAACTCCTAGAAGATGTTGAAAAACTGTTGTTGGTGTGAATTAATGAGAAGCAGTTAAAAGGCATTCAGCGTCGGAAGCTATGATAAAAGTAAACTATGGTTATATTATTTACCAGGGTTGTTTATTGAAAAAATTTATTTTTATGTTGATATTTTGGGGGGGGTGCGGAATAGATTACTTGGATTTCCATTATTTTCAATGGGAAAGTTTGTTTCTACATACAAGAAATTTGTTATATGAGGTCAATACTGGAATGAATTAAACTCTTATCTCGAGGTTCCATTGTACTTAATTTCACCAGATCTAGCCACAATGAGGATTCAAAAGATTTAGTGACATAATTTTGAACAAATGGCAATCTAAAAAAATTAAACAGATATTTTGAAAAACTTAATTTAAGATTTCTCGGAGGCAGGAAGGAGATAAGATATTATATTTGCATACTATTGCAATTTTTTGCAAATATTTCCTTTTATTTATTTATATTTTGTTGTACACTGGTTTCTATCTTTTTGAATTCATGCAGATTTGTTTTTTATTTATTTATTAATGGCTTTATCTTTTAATTTTAATGTAACTTTATATATTTTGTGCTGTTTTTGGTTTGCTTATAATAATCATTCTGAAAAGTCCCACAGTTTTTTTATTTTAAACACGAATACATATGATGCAGTGCAAAAACATAACACAGCCTCATTGAAACACATAAACACTATTTTACTATGACTTCATTAGGTTTCAAAAAATAATTAGGTTTTCATCAGATTCAGTGTAATGAAGTTATTGACGTGCAGTGTGACAGTCTCAAAAGAAGTCAATTTCCAGGCCATTCAGAGAATTTTGAAGTAGCTTGAAGAGATAAAAAATCTAAGAGGGAAGGTCTAACACATAAGAGAGATGATAAATAATATCTTGGCCATACCCATTCAGTTTTTTCCTGACATTAATCAAAATGTGAGATTGAGCTTTGTCATTACAGAAGACATCTCAGAGATTTGTCAGTTCTGTACACTTTGCTTCAATTTCTGCTTTCAAAACTGGCTTTGGGAACAGTATTATTCTATAGTCAGATTCTGTCAAATTTGGTGCAACAATTCATAGTATGCAGTTCCTTTGTAAGCCCACTATACAGAAGGCATTACTTTTCTGGAATGCAGCCTCCCTCTCAATGTTACTACAGGGGATTCTTTTGGCTTACCCCATGATATTTTTCCCCTAACTTTATTATAAGGTATACACTTCTTATCTACAACAATAAGCTGCTTCAAAACTAGAGTTGCTTTTTTTTTAGCAAAGAATTACATGCCAAAACTCGAACAAACATATTCTGCTACGTTAACGTATGGGGTACCCATGAAGCAACTCACAACCCAATCTTCTTCAAATGATCCTGTATACTTTTTGGAATATTTATTCTATCTGATAGTTCTTGAACTTAATAACTTTAAATTTCAGTTATAGCTTCTTTAACTGATGATTAGAGGATGGTTGGCCAGAGTGGGCATCATCCAAAATGACTAGAGAAAACATTCTATCAAAATAAATATACAATGCTTCTGTCTCAGATTTTCCCCTTAAAACCATAAATACTTTTAGAACCGACTTACATTTTACAAATGCTTTTAATTTTTTATTAAAACATTTATATATTTTTTAGTATGCATAAAAATGATTCAGAGTTTCATGTAAATTTGTTAGTATTTGAAAAACTGCAAAATTTATTTTTCCATTAAAGAGAAAAACTATACTGATACTCACTTCTCTATTTGCCAGTGTATCACTCAGAAGCTCAGCTTTTTCAAAATCACCTTCTTTTATAGCATCTTCTATCATATATTCTAATTCCGTCTAAAAGTAAATAACAAAAAAATTAGTTATAGAATAATTCTCAACTGATCTTACATATTCTAACTCCATCTAAAAGTAAATAACAAAAAGAAAAAGTTATTGAAAAATTCTTAAATCTCAGAAGGGAAATTAAATAATTAAATTCGAAACTATAAAAAAGAATGGAAGGAAATTTTTCTCTCTTTTAAAAAAAGCTTCCCTCTAGTAACATTTCAACTTGTGCTACATATTTATTCATTTAAATTTAAAAAATTTATTGCACAATTAATCTTAATTGAGAAAAAAATAAAAAAAAACATTATTGTATTGCTGCTCATCTTAATACAAAAGAGAACAAATGCACGGAAAGGTCATGCTTCCCTTAGAAATATATTTGCTTCTTTTTTATTAAAATATATGTAATTGAAAGACATTATTCTCTTTATCGACATTTCAGCTTACTCTTGCACTTAATGCATTACTAATTTCTTAGATGTACTTTAAATGCAAAAATAATTAGTTTTACTTTTTAAGAGAAGTCTTCTTTATATTTTATAAAACTCAAATAAAATATTTTAAAATAAATTTTTGGACCACATAAGTGAAAAAAAAATACCTTTACTTTCACTGCTACAGACAGAAGTTGAAAGATTATCAGCATGTATATTAAAATATAAATTACATGACATTCCTGAATAAAAATAATTTTCACACAGAATTTTGTATTTTACTAAATTGACTTGAATATAAAAGCACTACTGTCTTTCTTTAAAGTGGCCTTCCAAAATCACATCCTCTTAATGTGCCCACCAATATTTAAAAATATATTATATTAAATATTATAGTTATAACCTCTTAAAATCATATCAGAATAAAATAAAAAAATGGCACCTTTATTTCATTGTTAATATAAGGTGGATTTACATATAGGGTTACTCAGCAGCTTTTTTATTAACAGAAACAGCTGTTTATATTAACAGAAAGCACATTTACTTAATTGCATTTCCAGGTACAGTATTTAAGGCAATTAACTACCATTCTTGTGGAAACTTTTTAACACAATCTATTTAGCTCATATGTATGAAGTTAACTTGTAAGAAAATCTTATAAGGTATTCTCTCCTTCTTTCCAGCATGCCTTCATGGCATAATGGTTAACACACTTGGGTGTATTCAAGAAGTCCAGGTTCGAGTCCCGGTGAGGGCATTGCTCATTTTTCTTGTTTCCTGCTTCAAAAATCCTAATGACTCTACAGTCCTTTTCCTTGCTGAAAAAGCTGCTGAGTAACCCTATATGTAAATCCACCTTATATTAAAGAAATATAGTTTATATGCAATGATCCAAAAGCCAGAACACACATGAAAAAAAACATTTTGTTTTGATGGATTTGGAAACGTAAAGGTATATAAGGAGAGAAATGCGGAAATTCATGAGGATGAAATTACAGAATTTAATTGCGATAGTTTTTTAACAAAATTCATAAGACAGCATTCCATCCACAAAAAAAAAAAAAAAAAAAAAAAAAAAACATAAGAAATTCTGAATATGAGAGCCATCATTACTGAGCATAGCCTGAAGATGAAGTAAGACCAATGGACAGTAAGAACAGCATTTCTTTCAGGACATTCAATATATGTCACCAGATACCTTTTTTTAAAAACTGCCAGTCATGACCGATTGATTTCAGTATGTTCCTTAACTTCAGGTACCATCGTAAAAAAAAAAAATCACAAGGTTTCATGTCTAAACATCTTGATAAACTTTTTTAATTAACTCATTCGCCTATCACTCTAAGTTGAAAGAAAGAGTTATCAAAGAAGAAGAAACTCATAGCAATGCTTTTTCTTGTACGAATGTCACAAAAATCTAATGCTTGCCTTTCTTCAAGGTTAAGAAATATGCTGTTTTGTAACAGTATAGCATAATGCTAACTTGTGACAAAAACCATATATTCAGTATTCCAAGGTATTATGCAAACTAATGGATATAATTAAATATATATATAATTAAATACAAAAATTTTTTAAATAAATAAGTAAAAAGGCATTTTATGCATTTCTGGTCTAACTATGTTGTTATATAGTCTTTGCTGCATATTTTTAAATGCTTGCTACTTTTGATCAACTATGCATTTTTTAATGATTTGAAAATATTCGACTGATTACCTAAATAACTGGTAAGAACATTACAATAAATTGTAAATAAAATGTGAAGGCTAATCCTGGTTTAAGGATTAAATAAGTTTCTGAGAATATCAATTGAATAGATCTGTATGACATGAATACCCAGTATTTGCATATATGGTGAAACACTGCATAGTATTCATAAGAATAAAATGATTATATTTTGACTACAGATATCAATGTTCTGAAAAGCATTACTTACTTCTTATTGCACTTATTTATTTAATTTTATAGTACCACTACTTTTGTTTCATACAGCTTTCTCATGTTGAGGCTTACAGCAACATCATACAGCTTATGGGTATACAGCAACATCATACAACTGAAGGGCATACAGCAACATGCTTACTCAGTCTATTTAAATTACTTTCTCTTTCTACAGATTTTAATATATTTATTTGGCTTGGTCAAATAAATAATTCAAGAAAGTAATTTTGATACATTCATGCAACCAGAGTACAGACACACATTTGCACTTGATAACAAACCGACATGACTGTGTCTATTTAGAATCTTTATATTTTAATACACTACTTATTGTAATGGATGTATTTAATTAGCACTCATGTGAAATAAAGAAATGTTTTCTGAATTTTGTTCGTCAATATTCTTTTTCCACTTGCATTCAATCATTTGTAACAATGTTTTTTGGCCATTACAGTCTTTTAAGCAAATTTAGTTAACACTTGATTTAACAGTAGATTAAAAGGGAATAACATTTTGATCCTGAAACATGTATTCTTATGTATTCTTTCACATACTTAGGACTCTGAAATACTGTAGAAAAAAAAGATATATACATTTATCCTTATATTCATAGTTACAAAATGTTTACTTCCAAACATTCAATAACCTATTGATCTTAATGGCAAACCACTGAATATTTTGGTAAGCAATAGGAGTGTGTCACTGATTCAAAGAAGTGTATGCATAAAATAAGCTTGGGCTTCTCCTGCTCTTTCCTGCCTCTACGGTTGCATCAGTGTCTCTTGTTTACTACTTTTTTATCTTGTTTACCGGATATTTTGGAGATCAAATAAGAAAATATTAATCAGATGATAGTATTAAAGATTAGTATCCTAATTGAAATGCATAAGCACAAGCTACATATTACAGTGGAATAGCATTTCATGCATCTAAAAGATAAAAGATTTGAAAGGTGTCCCATTTTTAATTTGGCTGACCTTATACAAAGAATATTAGAAAATATATTTAGTTATTTCTCTTAATCATCTTTACTACTGTCTAACCTTTCAGCAGTCTGATTGCTTTTATGAAGCCATAAAATTCCTACCCACTTCAAATACATTACCTTGTTATTTAAAATAATGTCCTTTCTTATTTTCTTTAATGACCTAGATATCATTTTAATGAATGGAAGATTGTAAAATGAAAGAATAAAGTAAATAATCATAAAAATTTAGCTAAGAAATACTACAGAAATACAACTCTTCATAAGTGGACTCAGAAATCCTAGCAACTCAGTTACATTTTAAAATATTATAAAAAATAATATTTTTCTCATCAAGCTAAAAATGCAAGAACCTCCTTCATATGTGTGCTATTCCAGATTAGAAGACTCAGGAGGTACCAAAATTGGCAATAAATTGCTAACAAGTGTTTGCCTTGCAGTCGCACCTTTTCCTTCATCTTTGACATCTTTTTGTAACCCTGTGATGATGCAATCAATCCTTAATTATCCAATTTATTATTTTCTTATAGGTCTCTGGGATTTACGAAATAGTATAAAAGAAGCTATTCAAAATACTAAAAAAAAAGTTCATTTACAGTTTATAATACATGCTTTGAATTTATATTACAAGCAATAGCTAAACTGCACCCGCCCTGTTTTTGTCAGATACACTGATGACCAGTCCCACAGATTATCAAACTCACCCTGATGCCCTCCAGAGCTTCCAATGCAGGAAAAAGCACAAATACAGATGGCACTTTTGACAGATTAACTGGCCTTGAGATTTAAATTCAAAATTTACATTTATATGATTAAAAAAAGTATACAACAGAATAACAATATAATGACTTAAATGTTGAAAATATTTGCATCATGTTTCTGCCACCCACCTAACAAGCCTTATCTAACTAGTGAATCAAGGAATTATACAGAGTATAAAGATGAACTAGTGACGCCTTTTTATGCATTTTGGTGTGAACTTGTAGAAGTTCCATGGTGAGGCAAGACACAAGTATAAAATATACAATCTTTATTTTACACATCAATAATAACATTCCGATGAGAAGGGAAATTCCCGCTCCATACACACCGCTCTCTCCTTACCATCTGCCGCTCATCCGAGGCGGGCATGCGCAGAACTCACAAAACTTCGTACGGTGTTTCCATGGCAACACCACAGAGTATCCCCCCAGTGAGGGAGACCGAACGATACAAAAAAAAATGATACAGCATTTATATTATACAATGATAATGTTGAAGGTAAAAGGTACAATATAAAACACATAATAAATTAAACTACATAATGAAATACTGAATAAATAACAATATATATAAATTATATATAGTAGGTGGTAGACAGATGTTGAGGGAAATTGACATGTCGTCCAGATTTTGTGACTGTTTTAGGAACATGTGACATGGTAGGTTTCAGTGTGTCTGTCTTATTGGAAGGTTTAGTGTTAGGGACAAAGGTTTTATCACTAATGAAAAATGCAGGTTTGAGTCGATCAATTGAAACAGTTTGATTTTTACCGTGCACGGAGATGATAAAGGTTTTATCATATCGCTCAATGACTGGATGAGGACCTGAGTATGGTTGTTGAAGAGGAGGCTTGACTGAGTCAATTCTCAAATAAACATGAGAGCACGATTTTAAAGATGGATGAATGTGGATAGGCTCTGAACAGTGTTTTGATGTTGCGATGGGAATCAGAGATTGCATGATAGATCGTAAACTATTTACATATGTTGGTTTCGGGGATGGCGGAGAAAGCTGATCTGAGCACAAAATGTCCGAAGCAGTCTTAAGGTAGTACCATAGACTAACTCAGAACAAGTTGCTTGGATGTCGTCTTTGAACGGAAAGATCTAATACCCAAAAGTATAAGAGGTAACGATTCTGTCCAGCAAGGATTCTCTGCGATGCAATTTTATGCTGTTTTTCAAGTTGGCGATGATGAAAAACGTTCAATGATTCCATTTGATTGAGGTCTATAGGCAGTGGTACGAATACGATGAGTGCCCAGCAGGTTCGTGAACTCCCTGAAAAGATGCGATTCAAAGTTCCGACCCTGGTCAGTAGTGATAGTGGAAGGGCATCCAAAACGAGCTATCCATCCACTAATTAGAGCTTTACAAGTTGTTTCAGCCGACATATCAGATGTAGGAATTACTTCCGGCCATCGCGTGAAACGATCGATTATGGTCAAGCAATACTGATAACCTTCAGAAATTGGTAATGGGCCAATAAAATCTATGTGAATATGAGAAAATCTGGCATCAGGAAGTAAAAATGTCGAAATGGGTGATTTTGTATGCTTGTGTATCTTGGAACGTTGACATTTCTCACAAGCGTTCACAGAGTTTTTGATAAAAGTGTGCATGTTAGGCCAAATGTAACGTCTGCGGATCAATTTTGAAGTGGCAGATATACCTGGATGCGAAAGGTTGTGAATACTTTGGAAGATGCTAGGTCTAAATGAAAAGGAAATGAAAGGACAAGGGACATTGGTTGTGAAGTAACAATAGAGATAAATATCTTCAAGCGGAAAATATACTGTTTTGAGAGCTTCAAAGAAGAAGATTTAGAAGTTAGTAATTGTTGTAGTTTCATGGTCTGCGAGTTGTGCTGAGGCTAACTGTTTGAAATCCAGAATAG